TTTTTTAAGGAAAAAAGCAAATTTGTGAACCAAAATTAAAAACAATTAAAAAAAATGCCTCGTATTTCAATTTTGAAATGTTTTCTCAGTCAGTTAAATTGCCTTCGTCAGTGATATAACTTCTCCTATAAACACCAAAGGCTTCAAAACTGCATTCAAGGTTTCTAGAAACTATTCATCTTCATTTATTTGATATTCAGATTCTCCAGACAAAGCTGTTTTGCCGGCGATTTGGGTTCACATAGATGAGGAACTTTCTTTGAATTAACCACCTACAGGTGTAGTGTAGCTTACTTGTTGTTCCTATTCAGTTGCAGTCAAAACGTCGTACGACATCTAGATGTCATATGTCAGACATTTGCAAAACTAATTTCGAGTCTTGATAGTTGTGTGTTTATTCTCTATCACTATTCCTTGGCTTGTTGTTTTCTTATTCATTGAGATAACCGCATTTGGTCAAATTTGACTAAATTTACTTCGTTATCAATGATGAGGTATGTTAGCAAAATTTAATTCGTTTACAAACTCTAGTTTTGGGGAGAAGAGGTAAAGCGAGTTAAAATGGGTGGAGAGAAGTTATTGAAAATCCTCTGTAAGCCTGTGGAAAATTTTAACCAAAAGCTTTTAAACCATCATTCAAGGATTTTAGAAATTATTTATTTCCACTCGTTTGATGTGCTTATGTCGATTCAGCTGTTTTGTACGTGGATTTACGACGATACAGGAATTTAAACACACTAAAAATCGCGATGCTTTTATCTGTAATTCTTGTTTAGCTGCTTTCCGCCTATTCAGAAAAAGGTTGATCATGATTAAATTTCCGAATATGAATCTTGCATAAAGAAACATGAGGATCACTTTAAGTCAACGGACGAAACTTAGTTGGTCAAAACACACTAAAAAACGTAAAAAAGTAATATTTGAATGATATTATAAGTTTGTTCTGTTGTCTCACGACAAAGTCATTTGATGTGAGACAACAGAACAAACTTATAATAACATCCAACTACCACGATGAACAACAACCTATTTCATAACAATGCAATATTTGACATATTTCTTTATTGAGAATATTGAATTCATATTTCATTTCATCTGTAATTCAACTGTTTCCCGTTATTTTCATAGCAGCTGACAGAGCTCAGAGAAAATGCAGCCTCTCTACTCAGCTTCGCAGTGTATTCCATGGCTTGTGGTTCTCATCATGGAATGTCTGGCCATAGTCATTCTTAATATCATCACCATTGTTGTTTTTATTAAGAAGAAGCGTCAGCTACAGCGGCGGAGTGTGTATTTGATCATCCACCTGGCGATGGTCGATCTCCTAGCGGGCGCAGTCTCTGGGCCGCTGCAGATTGAAAACAGAATGTCGCAGCTCTGTCATCTATGGAATTACAGACAAAAGACTAGTTGGTCTTATTATTTATCTTATGCATTTGTACATTTATTCTCGTTCACTTCCCTAACAAATCTTATGGCTATTTCCTTAGAACGGCTACACGCAACATTTTTTCCATTCAGGCATCGCTTTGTGAGGAAACGGGTTTATAGAGCCATAATTATTGTCATTTGGTTAATAGCTATTGTTAGAGAGGTCGCTCAAATTTCCTTAAAGGGAATTGCTAATAATGCTGTAGTTAATACTTACTTGTATATCCTATTTTACGCAGTTTCTCTATTTGTTATCTGTGTATCTTATATCCTCATTACTATTAAGGTAGGATGTAGTCGTCATCCTCAATTCCATTCTAGGTCCAAAAGAGAAAGAAAACTGACGTGTACTGCGCTTATCGTCTCACTTGCATCATTTCTTTGTTATCTACCAGCGATAATATATGTAACGTGTCTTCGCGTTTCCTTCACTTGTTTCAGAAATTTTCATATTGATATGGTTGTGTTAGTTCTATTCTTAGCTAAATCACTTGTAAATCCTATAATTTACGCTCTTCGGATGCCAGGATTCAGAGAAGGTTTATTACAGCTATTTTACAGGGTCCCAGACCTTTCTAACGCCCCAGCAAACCTGCCACTTCGTTATCCTAGGGGAACATAGATAAATGGTAGGAAAATTGTTGATGAAGTTTGTTTCTAAATAACTTTAACTTCTTAGTCGAGTAACATGCATTTTCATCCTATTTTTTGGTTCCCATTAAAGTCTTAACACGAGTAAGAAAAACTATGCAGGTTATGTACGATCAAATAATTGATACAATATAGTTTTGCCTTTGAATAAAAGCAGTATACTCAACTTACTCGACGTTGTGATCATTTGCACGACAGCTTGACCTGAACCAAAATAAATGCGACTTTTAACAAGCCCGAGATGAATAACTTAGAGCAACTCTACCACCACACTCCCAGCCCCTCCCCGACCCCCATCAGCTCATCTCTTTTCTTTCTCTTGTTATCAATAAAGGGCAAAATTACTGAGCGCTGATTGGTT